CTCGGCCAATGGTCGATGTGTTTCAGCTACTCAATGTCCTAAACGTGAGTATTATTAAGTAATCTTGATATAGAACTCTTCTTCAGGCTGAGACTGACACTAGGGCAGAAAGCACTGTGATAAGCCAAATAATATTGAAAATTTCAATTTTTGAATGACAATCGAGTAGTTGGCTTTGGTCTTTATTCACGTTTTTCTTTGTTTCTAGAGTATCCCTGGAACCCAATACTTCACTCCTTCAAGGGATTCTCATCAGGAAAGTAGTAAAAAGCTTGAATTGATTTTTGAATTAGCACCGTAACATTTCGAAACCTAAACCCCTCTATCGGGTTTAGTTACGGTGCTAATTCAAATATGCTTCTCTTCTAAAATAAAATAGTGGCAAATAAATTGGGAACTAAACGACCTTGTATAAATAGCTGACGGCACAATTTTGCGTTACTGGAAAACACTCATTTATTATACAGATGTCAGAACCTTCCATAGCCATTGTCAACAAAATACATTCCTTCTGGAGAGTGTCTAAAAATTGTCCAAACATGCTCAAGATTTGAAACGGCTAAATAATTGAATGTGTCATCATTGAGTCGATTAGACAAAAGGAAGCCATAACCCCATTCAATCGTAATTCATTCCAATTTCCAACTCATAAATCCAGTATGCATTTAATTGAGCTCGATATGTTTTCTTATAGTAATGGCCTTTCAACTAGTTATTCTGACTTGGTACTCCAATTAACAAACGAACCCAATGGAATCTTTGATGATAATATTAACTATGATTAACTATAGTTTATTGAAATAGAATCTGGATAAGACGCGCTTCAAGTTGGTGTACATTTTCTAGCTTAGTGCCCGATATAGTAAAGACCTGGCTCAAATTTGTGTTTTCGTAAAAAAATCAGAGTGGTACCATTAATATTTGACGAAAGCAAGAACTGCAAATTCAGTGTTTTCAGCCACAGTTTCTACCGTACCCGATGTCCCAGATCAGATGACTTCATACGGCGATGAGCCAAGTCAGTTCCAAATTTCATTTTTGCTGTTTTCTTGTATTTAAGCCCTCAAAGGCTATTGGTACTGCAATTTTTAGAAATTAGTGAACAGAAGACAATGGCTGCA